GAAATAAAGCCTGACTGCTCACAGAAGGGAAGGATATTAGAGGCAAATCTGAAGTAGTGGGTTGTTGTAGGGTTTTTTTGGGCTATATGGCCATGTTCTAGAGCAGTGGTTCTCAACCTGTGGGTGCCCAGATGTTTTGGCCTTCAGCTCCCAGAAATCCTAATAGCTGGTAAACTGGCTGGGATTTCTGGGAGTTGTAGGCCAAAACACCTGGGGACCCACAGGTTGAGAACCACTGTTCTAGAAGCATTCTCTCCTGATGTTTTGCCTGCATCTATGGCAAGCATCCTGAAAGGTTGTGAGGGCCTCACAACCTCTGAGGATGCTTGTCATAGATTCAGTTGACACATCAAGAGAGAATGTCTCTAGATCATGGCTATACAGCCAAAAAAACCAAAAAACCAAACAAACAAACTACAACAACCCAGTGATTCCAGCCATGAAATCCTTCAACAATAAATCTGAAGTACTTTGGCCACATAATGAGAAGACAGGAAAGCTTGTAGAAGATAATGATTCTGGGGGAAATGGAAGGAAAAAGGAAGAGAGGCCAACCAAGGGCAAGATGGATGGTTGGCATCCTTGAAGTGACAGGCTTGACCATCAACAGGGAGCTGTGATGTGGGCTGGTCCATGAGGTCACAAAGAGTTGGAAATGACTGAATGAATAAACAAAAACTTCATTTCACGTCTCAGTCTTCTCTCTTCTAGGCTAAACATAACCAGTTTCCAAAATTGTTCCTTAGAAGGCTTGGTTTGCAGATCTCTGACCATTTTGATTGCTCTTCTCAATGTTGGTGCCCCAAAATGGACAGAGTATTCCAGATGGTGTCTGGCCAAAGTACAATAGAGTGACACTGCTACTTTCCTTGATCTGGACAATAGGCTACCATGCTTCTGTTTATTTATCACATATGTAAAATGATGAAGCGGAGGAACTTTAAGTAGAAGAGTTATGAGGACAGTGCCTTGTAAAGATTCTGCAGAACGTTCTCCATTAAACACTTAATCAATTAGCTTAGCTTAAGCAGCAAAAGCATGAAAGCATCTCCAGTGACTTTTCTTTAGCTCTAGGACATCCTCCTTACTGCTAAAGTCCACTACTAAAACACTAGTTAATATTAACAGTACCTCCTTGGAAGTGCTAGGGAGCTTTCAGTGGGCTCACGGCCAGGCAGAGCTCGACGAATACTACTGTTAATTTTTAATAAGCATTTTCTATACATTGCCCTGCCTGTCAAAAGTCTTCCTCCCACAACTATAATAACTAGACGCTTCAGAAAAGAAATATAACCCCTTAAACCTTAAATTAAATTGAATTACACTAAACTAAAATTCTTAAATCCTACATTTGTATAGTATTATTTTTATTTATTACATACATTTCTATCCCGCCCTTCTCCCCACAAGGGGACTCTGGGCGGCCTTACATGAGCATCCAGTGATGCAATCCACATATATACCAATAAAATCACAATTAAAACAATAAAATCCATTTAATACGTTACCCAGATTCAACAGTAAATTCATTAACAATAAATTGGGCAAATATCTGATAGAAAAATCACCCCCTTGTTACATCACTCATTTTAAAGTCAGGTTTCTACCAATCTCTTTGGCTGTTTGCTTCATTTAACATATAGAATTTTTTAAAAAACATCACATGAAAACTTTTTGAATAGCTCTTGGAAATGCAATGCTGAGGCTGGATTTGTGCTCATCAGTAGTGCCAGCCAATTACAAGCTTCTTGGCAGCTGACAAATTGGCGTTTATCCGCCGTAATTCCTTTGTTGCATTTTCTGGGGATTTGCAGCAAACAAGACAATCTTCAAGGATTAGATTTGCATACCTTTCTGTTTTTTAAAATGAGGGGTTGTGTTGAAGTGGGATTTGCTGTTCTGGCATTGGCAAAAAGGCCTGGATTTACACCTTGCTGTTGCACTTAGTGAGGTATTACAATGACGAGAGGTAGCACTTTCTTGGCATAGGCTGAGGACTCTGAGATGGCACGGGAGATGCCTTGGTGGTTTTGTCCCACAAATGAGAATGCAACTTTTCAAAGAGGCGGTGTGGGAATAGTTTCATTAGGCTTGAGTAGACTTGCTGGGTCCATTTATGGCAGGTTCAGCAGCCTAACAATGAACTTGTACAAACTGTCCACATAGTTATTAAGTAGCTGCTTGAGGACACATGGAGATGTGGAAACATGTCCACAGCTTGGAAAAGAATGTTTTTGTATTACGTTGTTGTTCATTCGTTCAGTCGTTTCCGACTCTTCGTGACCTCATGGACCAGCCCACGCCAGAGCTCCCTGTCGGCCGTCACTACCCCCAGCTCCTTCAAGGTCAAGCCAGTCACTTCAAGGATGTCATCCATCCATGTTGCCCTTGGTCAGCCCTTCTTCCTTTTTCCTTTCATTTTCCCCAGCATCATTGTCTTCTCATGAAGTGGCCTCTACTATCTTGGCCTCTACTATCCTTCCCTCCAATGAGCAGTCGGGCTTTATTTCCTGAAGTATGGACTGGTTGGATCTTCTCACTGTCCCAGGCACTCTCAGAACTTTCCTCCAACACCATAGTACAAAAGCATCTATCTTCCTTTGCTCAGCCTTCCCTATGGTCCAGCTCTCACATCTGTCGGTGACTACGGGGAATACCATTGCTTTGACTATGCAGATCTTCATTGCCAGTATGATGTCTCTACTCTTCACTATTTTATTGAGAATGGATATTGCTCTTCTCCCAAGGAGTAAGCGTCTCCTGATTTCCTGATGTTTGTGTTATAGTACTATGTATATAGTGCTACATTAGCATGGCTAGAGCTAGTTGTAGGATTCTCACCATTGTTATCAGAAGTGGATTTTTTCTGAGCTGCCCAGAAGTTATTGGACTGCATCTCCCATTAGTTTGAACAAGCATAGCTAGTGGTGATGGATATTATTGTCCAAAAATATCTGGTTGGCCACATGTTCCCCTTCCCTAATCATTAGAGTAGTAGGTATGGGTTTGGGTGGGTGTGTTAGTCTGAAATCTTATTTTCCTCATGAGGTGTGACATCCGAGACCATGGGAGGATATCTCTTGGCTTCGTCATGTGGCATAAGAAATATGCCAAGCATTTAAGATTTGGAAATGAAAACTGCCAATACCTGGCTTTTTCAGGCATGTCTGTTAGCAGAGCTGCAGTTAATTAGCATTTGTTCAGAATTACAATACTCAGGGTAAGAGTAGGTTGTTGGACAAGTCTACTCTCTTCTGCTCCAAGTGTAATTCTTCATACTACAGTACATAGTCCTTGGCATTTGAGGTTGTTGAGCAAGTCTACTCTCTTATTCTCATTCTGTAACTCTTCATACTACAGTACACAGTTCTTAGCATTTGAAATTTGAGGTAATTCCAAGAAACCAAATATTTTGTTAGATTTCTTTCTCGGTGTATTATATATAGTTTTCACTGATAAGACTGAAGATTTATCCCATAAGATTAAAGTTACAAAAGTCCTACTCTCATCCATTATCCCCCCCCCCCAGATCTTCTATAATGATATTGATCTTCTACCAATATCATTATTGATAGGTTTATAAGATCTTGACTGCTCTGGATTTGGGTTCTTGTGAATTTTCCGGGCTGTATGGCCATGCTCCAGAAGCATTCTCTCCTGACATTATTGCCTGCATCTTTGGCAGGCATCCTCAGTGGTTGCGAGGTCTGTTGGAAACTACCTCTGAGTATGCCTGCCATAGATGTGTATGAAACATCAGGAGAGAATGCTTCTGGAACATGGCCATACAGCCCAGAAAACTCATAACAATCCAGTGATTCCAGACATGGAAGCTTTCGACAATACACTACTCTGGATTTCTTTTTAAAAATCATGTACATGGACTACATTTTAGTTGTCTGGAAGGAAGCTGCTTTGAATGAAAGTTGAGTTTTTATAGCTGCAGAAGTAAAAGTTTGATATTGTGCTTGGGGATGGGGGGGGGGGGTATAGTCTTTCACTTGGCTCCTGAATTCCCAACACTGTTTTGCATCTGTTCCTCTGAGGGCCTTCTGTTCAAACTAGATCCAGGCATGGCCTTTTGCCTGAGAAAATGAAATGAAAGTCTTGTGTGGCCGTTAATAGGTGGCTCTGAAAACACTGCACGCTATTCTCTGTGCTTAAAGGAGATTCCCATTGTTGAGACATGCTGGGGAAGTATATATAGTTCTACTTGTGTCTTACATTGAGCATAAATAGTAATGAAATGCCCAAGGACCTCTTTTCAGCTACTTTTTAAAGTGAAGCCATGGTCATGTTTGGCTGACTAGTAGCCCTCCCTGCTGGCATGCTATTAAAATATGCACCAAAGCCTGTGTTGTCGTTTTCTTAATTGGTCCCCCACAGCTTTTGTTTTCCCCCACTCAGGATGTGTGTGTTGTGAAGAAATTCTCAGAGGTTTAGTGTATCACAGACATCCAAAACCAAACTATTGCTCAACGTGTTTCTAAATGACACCAAACGAGTCAGAAGATTTCTTACTTATCCCTGCAACTCTATATTCAACTAGGAATCCCAGGGCTGTCTCAAAACCCAAGGTCAATGCCCACCAAACCCTTCCAGTATTTTCTGTTGGTCATGGGAGAACTGTGTGCCAAAATTAGTTCAATTCCATCGTTGGTGGAGTTCAGAATGCTCTTTGATTGTAGGTGAACTATAAATCCCAGCAAGTACAACTCCCAAATGACAAAATCAATCCTCCCCAACCCCACCAGTACTCAAATGTGGGTATATCGAATATTTGTGACAAATTTGGTCCAGTGAATGAAAATACATCCTGCATATCTAATATTTACATTGCAATTCATAACAGTGGCAAAATTACAGTTATGAGGTAGCAATGTAAAAAAAAAATTATGGTTGGGGGTCACCACAACCTGAGAAACCGTATTAAGGCGTCACGGCATTAGGAAGGTTGAGAAACACTGTCCTAATGCTTCCTTGCTTCTTTCTTTTTACAGACCCGGATGCAGAGTTTGCAACCTGACCCCAAAGCCCAGTACAGGAGTGTGTTTGAGGCCTTGAGGAAGATTGTCCAAACGGAAGGCTTCTGGCGGCCTTTACGCGGGATCAACGTGACTGTGATTGGAGCGGGCCCGGCTCACGCTCTGTACTTTGCCTGCTACGAAAAAATGAAACGCACTTTAAGTGACATTATTCACCATGGAGGGAACAGCCACCTGGCCAACGGTATATTGACATAAGCAGCCTGGGTGTCCTCCTGGCCCCCTTGGCTCTCAAGTCGCGTCCTTTTCTCTCTCTCTCGTGGTTTGCCACCTTCAGTCTGCATTTTCTGCTTCTGGAGAGAAAGACGCCGGGAAAGACTTCTCGCTCAGCAACCTAGGCTCTCTGTCTGCATTCAAACTGTTGTCTATTTCCCACAGGCACCGGCAGTGTTAGAGGAGCATGTCTGAAGAATGCCGAAGATATGTAGTCTTCCAGATCCTCTAAAAGTTAGATGTTGTAAATCATTTGACCATTAATCCCTCATGTGAGGGAAACTGAGAAGCCAATGCCTTAAGTAGTGTGTCAGTCTAGCCTGGGCATTTCTAGGGGTTTGATTCCGCAAATCAGGTTTGCTACTGCTACTTCGTAATCACATTTGTGGTTATTTTATGACCATAATATCAGTTTGGCTGCAGCACTCCAAGGTCCACTTCTAGATAAATATTTTTATTTCTTAATAAAACTAAGCCAGGTGTGTTTGGAAGCTTGCAACCCTTTGTTGTCAACATTTGCTATTATTTTGGCGTTTGAAAGTGTAAGGCAGTAGTTCTCAACCTGGGGTCCCCAGATGTTTTTGGCCTACAACTCCCAGAAATCCCAGCCAGTTTACCAGCTGTTAGGATTTCTGGGAGTTGAAGGCCAAAAACATCTGGGGACCCCAGGTTGAGAACCACTGGTGTAAGGCATCTCTAGTCAGAGGTTCCTTTAAAGACTTCACCTCCCAAAGACAGCAAGCAACACGACTGATAGAAAGGCATTGTGGGAGCTATAGTCTACAACATTTGAAATGCCAGTTTCCCCATCCCTAATTTAAGAGTCCATATTGATATTCACTCTTGAAGAACTTGCATAGTTCTCTTAGATTATAAGTTTGCAGTCTTGTCACAAAGTTGCACTTAATTGCATTTTCACCACCTATATTGATGCAAATTAATGCAAATAGTTCCATCTTATATAAACTTGTATGTCAGGCTGGATGAGTTACAATGGGAACCTTCAGAGTGTGTCAACTCAACTTCCAGTATTGTGTTGATTTTTTTTTAAAAAAAGAAAATCTGCTAAAATATTTTTTAGTTTGAACCTCTTGGTAACAGATATTGACAGTCTTATAGTTGGGGCAACATATACATACACTTCGAGGATTACAATTGCGTACCATATAAGCTGACCCGAATATAAGCCAAGGTACCTAATTTTACCACAAAAAACTGGAGAAAAGTACGACCTCGAGTATAAGCCCAGGGTGGGAAATGCAACAGTTACTGGTAAATTTCAAAATAAAAATACTGTATATACTCGAGTATAAGCCTAGTTTTTCAGCCCCCTTTTTTAGGCTGAAAAAGCTGCCCTCAGCTTATACTCGAGTCAAAGTTATTTATTATTTTACTCTGTTATTACTATTATTTTTATTACATTTATTGTTTTCCTCTATTATTGGCATTATTACATTTGCATTATTTTACTCTATTATTTTATTACATTTATTTTACTCTATTATTATTATTACATTTATTTTACTTTATTGTTGTTATTACATTTATTATTTTACTTTATTATTATTGGAAGGATACGTAAGCACATTGACACTGAAAAAAGTTAAAATAATGGTTTAATCAAAGTTGGTCAGTCTTATTTTAAATTACAGTTTTATGTAAACATTAAAAAACATGTAACCTACTGTTTCCTCAATTAATGTAATTTTATTGGTATCTATATTTATTTTGTATTACCTGTAGCTGCTGCATTTCCCACCCTCGACTTATATTCGAGTCAATAAGTTTTCCCATTTTTTGGTGGTAAAATTAGGTGCCTTGGTTTATATTCGGGTCAAGTTATACTTGAGTATATACGGTAGATGCCAATAAAATTACATTAATTGAGGTGTCAATAGGTTAAATGGTTTTGAATATTTACCATATTTCAAAGAAAAACAGTAAACTAGCTCTGTAAGTGGAAAAGTAGGGTCAATAAAAACAATATGGTATCAACAATAACATAATAATAATAATAATAATAATAATAATAATAATAATAATAGAATTTCATTTGTATCCCGCCCTATCTCCCCGTGGGGGCTCAGACCGACTTCCAACATAGTAACAGGCAAACCTTCCATGCCTATATAAACAATGTAGAGCTAGATATAGATCTATAATTATATATACTAATTTCATATATGCATTTCCCACTGAAACATTTACAGATCCTCTCTATATGTGCATTTCCCTCCTGCAATATTTGCAAGTCCTATATATCTGTATTCATATATATCTATTTAGACATCTCTATATAGATAATTATATCTGTATAGAATTTGCAAAGACTTGCAAACATGTGATGGGGAAAATTCATATGTGAAATTATTTCTTTATATACACACATATATAGATATACAGATATATAGGTACCTCTTTTTATTTGTTTATATCTATAGGATTTGCAGAGACTTGCAAACATGTGAGGGGAAAATTCATATAAAAATAATGTATAGATATAGATACAGATTTATAGGTACATGGAAATCTCTAGATATCTGTATGTATATAGGATTTGCAGAGACCAGCAAACATATGAGGGAAAACTGGGTTGTTGTAGGTTTTTTCGGGCTATATGGCCATGTTCTAGAGGCATTCTCTTCTATTTTATTTCGCGTATTTCTACCCCGCCCTTCTCAACCCCCAAGGGGGGACTCAGGGCGGCTTACAAAAGGCACAATTCGATGCCAACAACAACAATAAAATAAAACATGTATCAAAAGCAATTATAAAACAATTAAAACAATCAAGTTATATATCACAATCAATAAATCCAATCTAATGTTCAACGTTCGCCAACGCAGAATCCATAAATTCATTCCACATTGTCAAAACCTATCAATTCTAGTCATCATTGTCCTTTGACTATCTGCCAGATTACCCAAAGACCTGGTCCCATATCCATGTTTTTAGTTTCCTTCTGAAAGAGAGGAGGGATGTCGATGATCTGATTTCCCCGGGAAGTTAATTCCACAGGCGAGGGGCCACCACCGAGAAGGCCCTGCTCCTCGTCCCCACCAATCTCACTTGTGATAGACTTTTGCCTGCATCTACGGCAAGCATCTTCAGAGGTAGGATGAGGATGCTTGCCATAGATGCAGGAGAAACGTCAGGAGAGAATGCCTCTAGAACATGGCCATTTAGCCCGAAAAAACCTACAACAGCCCAGTGATTCTGGTCATGAAAGCCTTTGACAATACATATGAGGGAAAACTTCCAAGGGGACAAAATGCACATATAAAGTTAATACATTTAGATACACAAAAAAGGCCAGGATATGGGTGTGTTTAAAAGAGAGTCGTATGAACAAGGAGGACATGAAATATATTTCCTTTCCCTCTTTTCGACTGAAAAAGAAAACCCATTATAAGCCAAGGGTGGGCTTTTTAGCTGAAAAACTTGGCTTATCTTCAAGTATATACGGTTAATTCTGGAATCTTGCAAAGAAATGCTAGATTAGATCAACGACTTGCCAAGTCAGAAACTATTTTTGGTCTGTATCCTTTGTGTGCTTAGCATTCCTTTGACTCCACAATCTAAGGACACTACACCTCAAAACAGGATAAAGTTTTGCTGGTCCTACAGTTTCTTAAAAGTGTGTTTGATTCCCTTTGCTGTGTTTTATGAATGTTTGCTACCTCACAATACCCTGGCATCTAACCCATAGTAACCCATTGTTAGGGGATAGTCAGCCTTTCTTTTGATACAGCAGAGCTCTTTTGTTTTGAACATGCCCGGTCTTTCTGAGATGTGAGAGTTCATGTCCTAATATAGCTATCATGTGCAGGCATTACCATGCTGATCTGGATACCAATTTTTTCCAGTTATATACCATACATTCTCTGAATGCTCTTCCCTATGTAATATAGAGATCTTAAGTATGTCAAAAGTACCGCATATACTCGACCCGAATATAAGCCGAGGTGCCTAATTTTACCACAGAAAACTGGGAAATCGTATTAACTCCAAGTATAAGCCGAGGGTGGGAAATGCAGCAGCTATGGGCCAATTTCAAAATACAAAATAGATACCAATGAAATTAAATTAATTGAGGCATCAGGAGGTGAAATGTTTTTGAATTTTTACATAAAACTAATTTATGTCGAACTCTGATTAAACCATTTTTCTAATCTTCAGTGGAAATGTGCTTGTGTATCCTTCCAATAATAATAGTTAAATAATGTCATAAAATAATAATAGAGTAAAATAATGGAAATGTAAGAATAACAGTAATAATAGAGTAAAATAACAAGTGTAATAATAATAGAGTAAAATAATACATGTAATAATAATAGAGTACAATAAAAATGTAATAAAATGATAAGAAATAGAGAAAAATAAATAATAATAATAGAGTAAAATAATAAATGTAATAATGATAATAATAGAGTAAAATAATAAATGTAATAATGATAATAGAGTAAAATAATGTAAATGTAATAATAATAAATAGAGTAAAATATTAAATAATAAATAATACAAATAACAGAGTAAAATAATAAATAACCTTGACTCAAGTATAAGTCGAGGGGGGCTTTTTCAGCCTAAAAAAGGGGCTGAAAAACTAGGCTTATACTCGAGTATATACAGTATGTCTGTGTTGACTTATCACCACCCTCGGATCATGGACTTCCTGAAGGCTGCTCACAATTGCATTTTCCAAATATTTTGAATTACAGTTAGCTTGAGGCCCAGCCAACCTGGGTAGTTTTTGGAAATGATGGGGATTGTAGTTCAGAATATCTGGATGACACTCGCATTCAGAAAGTTGGAGAACACTTCCTCATGCCTTCATATAATTGTGGTCAGATTGCCCTTTTAAAAACAACACAATTTGCCTGTGAATATTTATAGTAGATATGAGATGGTTTTGTAGAGATGATTGTATTTTCTGGGAATAGTTTCAGGTAAGATTTCAGGTAAGAATATTTGCAATGCTTCCTTTCAGTTGAAGCACCATGGTAGTCCGTTTTTTAGTATCTGGTACTTGTGCAGCAGTAGCGAGTAGGCGTTTTGGATTCTCTGTTGGCCTTTCCACACATTCATCTCATCCAGAATATCAAGGCAGATAATCCACTGGTGGCATAACGGGTTAAACCACTGAGCTGCTGAACTTGCTAACTGAAAGGTTGGCGGTTCAAATGGGGAGCGGGGTGAGCTCCTGCTGTTAGTCCCAGCTCCTGCCAACCTAGCAGTTTGAAAATATTATTTATTTATTTATTAATTTACTATATTTGTATACTGCCCTTCTCAGGCCTTAGGTGACTCAGGTTTACAACGGCAACAATTCAATGCTCAAAAACACCATCAAACATTTAAAAACATTAACATATAATATAAAACAATAACAAGAATACTAAAAGCATACATCATTTGGGTCTCCTAATAAAAACATTGTCCCATTGTAGATAAATAGGTACTGCCTTGTTGGAAGGTAATGGCGCTCCATACAGTCATGCTGGCCACATGACCTTGGACGTGTCAACGGACAACGCTGGCTCTTCGGCTTAGAAATAGAGATGAGCACCAATCCCAAGAGTCAGACACGACTGGAGTTAATGTCAGGGGAAACGTTTACCTTTACTGCTTTGAACTGGGTTTTCTGAGTCCACACTGCCATATAATCCAGTTCATTGTGGATTTTATACTGCTGTGTGGAAGGGGCCTGGGTGTTGTTGAACTAGAACTACCATCAGTCCTAACCAGTGCTGAGGAATAATGGAAATCACAATACAGCAACTACTGGAGGTCCAAACATTCTCCATGCCTGTCATGCACCATGCTGAGCTTCCTTTTACAGGTTTTTGTACATATAAGGTGGTTTTGTGAAGGAAAGAGTTAGAAATGTTACTGTTTGAACGACATCTATCACAATCTCTGAGACAACTTTCTAAGTTGTGGGCTGTGAGTCTGTATGCAGTGAAAAGTGGCTTCTGTGTTTTGTTCTGAAGCTCCACATGTTGAGCACCCAAAAGCTATGTGAGAATGACTTTGTGAAAGGGGAATGTCTTGTTTCTTTTTTTGCAGGAATGGCTGGGAGCATGGCTACCCTACTCCATGATGGTGTCATGAATCCTGCTGAAGGTAATACTGTTTGATGTGGATGCTCCAGTGGGGTGAAGAGGAGGGAAACCCTACTGACAGTATTTGGGTATCTGTCGTAATCACCTGCTGTGATTTCTGGGAATTCATGAAATACTTCTACCTTTGATTGTTCTCAGAGATTCTATAGGGTTCCTTGGTCGGTCTTATCTGCATATTGGTGATGGCGGAAGATAAGATTGCCATTGATCAGCTTTTCCCAACTCGGCACCAGTCAGATATACCTGTCAGGACCACCGTATCAGTACTCTGCCATAAAGAAGGGAGGTGGGGAAGGAAAGCTGTGTACAGTTGGGGAAGGTAGTGTAGATAAGACATCTGTTTTATGAGGGAAATTGAAAATCAGTTAACAGGCTGTGGACATACTGTTTGGCCATTAGGGGGCAGATGGGAGTTGGGGCTGATATATTCAGGGAAACTTTAGAACTGTCTTTTTCGGATTGTGGAAAGAAGGAATTAACCACTTGTCTCCAGCATTTTTTGTTGTTGTGAGCTTGATTTTAACCCCAAGTTCTTCTAGAGCAGGGGTCCTCAAACTACGGCCCGGGTGCCACGTGCAGTCCTCTGAGGGTATTTATCTGGCCCGCCAAGGAGGAGGCCTCCTTTTCAGTGGAATCAGTCTTGGCTCTGCTAATGCAGAGCTCCTTTCGTTCTTTCTGTCTCCCCCTCACACTCTCTCTCTCCTCGTTTCAGTCTCTCTCCTTTCACCCTTCTTTTTCTTTCTCTTTTTCCCTCTTCCTTTCTCCCTTCTGTTTCTCCCTCTTTTTTCTCTCCCTTTCTCGTCTTCCTCTTTTTATATCCCTTTCTTCTTCCTTGGAGGAGGTGGAGCCTGGGGCCCAGCGCTGGAGGCCCAGGGGGGAGGGGGGGGGAGGAGGATAAATGCCCTTAGAGGGCTGCATGTGGCCCCCGGGGCCATCGTTTGAGGACCACTGCTCCAGAAGATCTTGGAGTTAAAATCAAACTCACAACAAACAAAAAAAATGCTGGAGACAAGTGGTTTATTCCTTCTTTCCACAATCCAAAAAAGACAGTTCTAAAGTTTCCCAGAGGAGTTCACCCCCTCCCCTCACCCAACACTGCCTTCCTGCGCCTCCTGTGCAAGTGGTCCTTTTGTTGCCAGAACTTGCGCATTGCTAAGCTGGGCCGGATGCTGGTGCAGCAGGGCTTGCTGGAGCCCATAGTGTGCGACCCTGCTTTCCTGCACGACCAGGGTCTGCGTGGGTGTGAAAGCGCTGAAAAATAGAGTTAATCTACACTGCAGAATTAATGCAGTTTGACACCAGTTTGACTGTCGTAGCGTAATGCTATGGAATCCTGGGATTTAATTTTTTATAAGCTGATTCGCTTTTTCTGCCGAAAGATCAAAATGCAACTGCAGGATTCCATAACATTGAGTTAAAGTAGTTATTTGTGTAAATATAGTATTTGTTCCATTTTGTTTTTTTACTTCAAAATAATATATGTGCAATGTGCATAATAATTTGATCATAGTTTTTTAAAACTTATAGTCCGTCCCTCCAACGGTCCGAGGGATAGTGAATTGGCCCCCCTGTTTAAAAAGTTTGAGGACCCCTGTTCTAGAGTCTGACAATACCAGATTACAAATCTCATCCAACATATTGGCTGGGCACTTTGGTTTGGAATTCAGGAGAGTTGACTGATACTGAGCCAGATCAGTGGTCCATTTAGTTGAGAACTCCGCCACCGTTGTTTGAGGAAGCGTTGCCCCACCAAACATTTGGGACTATCATCTCCCAGAAATGGTAACCAACTTTCTGACATGATTCTAACTTGCTTTGTGTTTTTCTCTTCCTTCCTTTCTTTGCTGTGCCCACCATACTGTCTTCTAACTCACCTGGCATCCATGATCCCCTCGTTGACCATCTTGTGTGGGCGGCAGTGGTGAAACAGCGCATGCAGATGTACAACTCTCCATACAAGACTGTCATGGAATGCATCAGGACGGTGCATAGGACTGAAGGCTTGGGTGCCTTTTACCGGAGCTACACCACGCAGCTCACCATGAATGTCCCCTTCCAGGCCATTCACTTTATCACCTATGAGTTCATGCAGGAGCAGATCAACCCCCGGCGGCAGTACAACCCTCTCTCACACATTGTCTCGGGGGCCGTGGCTGGGGCCGTGGCGGCAGCGGCTACGACGCCACTGGACGTCTGCAAAACGCTCCTCAACACCCAAGAGAACATGGTCCTGAGTTCTATAAACATTAGTGGTCACTTATCAGGAATGGCCAACGCCTTTAGGACAGTGTACCAGCTGGGAGGGGTCGCTGGGTATTTTAAGGGAGTGCAGGCACGGGTGATCTACCAGATGCCTTCAACCGCCATTGCCTGGTCTGTCTATGAATTCTTCAAGTATGTGCTTACAAAGCGCGAGATGAAGAAGGGAAGTCCGTGCTGATGACTCTGGAGCCCCGAATCGCCCGAGACAGTGACATCTCTCTGTGTCTGCACACTCTCCCCACGCTCCTTGGAAAGGTTTCTGGTGGGATTCACAGTTGAGTTCTGAGACGTATGTGTGCGTGGGGTGTGAGTTTTGAAATTCTGGAGCAGTCCCGTCCTCTCCTTTCTCATATCTTTTCTTTTTTTTGCAAAACCAAATTGTTAAAAAGAGAGGTGAATCCTTAAAACAAGGACTGGTCGTCTTTTGTTCCCCTTGTGGCTATGAGAAATGTGGTAAAAAAATCATTGTACCGTATTTTCTGGTGTATAAGACTACTGTTTAACCCAGGGGTCCTCAAACTATGGCCCGGGGGCTGGATACGGCCCTGCAAGGTCATTTATCCGGCCCTTGCTCAGGGTCAGCCTAAGTCTGAAATGACTTGAAAGCACACAACAACAACAATCCTATCTCATCAGCCAAAAGCAGGCACACACTTCCCATTGAAATACTAATAAGTTTATATTTGTTAGAACTGTTCTACATTTTAATTATTGTATTGTTTTTAAGTGGTCTTTGAACAACAAATAAGATATGTGCAGTGTGCATAGGAATTCATTCATTTTTTTTTTCAAATTATAATCCGGCCCTCCAACAGTTTGAGGGATTGTGATCTGGCCCTCTGTTTAAAAAGTTTGAGGACCCCTGGTTTAACCCAAGAAGATCTTCTCAAAACTCAGGGGTCGTCTTATACACCGGGAGTTGACTTATATGCTGGGAGTAGTCTTATATGCTAGGAGTAGTCTTATAGAACGTGCTGAAACTTCCAATCCTGAGATAGAGTGGCTCTGGGCCCAGAAAAACACATCTCTTTTACCTGTCTGGCCCACCATTGTATCCTATTACCGTCCCTCCTCCTCTGCCTCTCAGATCTCGCTCCTGAAGACTGCCGTGAAGCAGTGCAGGTGCGCATGTGCGAGATCTGAGAGGCAGAGAAGGAGGGACAGTAATAGGAAAATTACCACATTGAAATCAATTTTTATTTGGTGTGCGTTGGAAGAGGGGTAGTCTTATACGGCGAGTATATTCCAAACTATATTTTAACTGGAAAAGTTGGGGGTCGTCTTATACGCCCAGTCGTCTTATATGCCGGAATATACGGTACTTGTTTTTATTATTGTACTGCTTTTTTGGGGGGGGGGGCAAACCCAGAGTAAAAAGCTGTGGGAGGGGACAAAATTATTTTGTGTGGTTAACATAGAAAGGTGATGCCTTTGAGCTAATCTTTATATAGAGAAATGCGATATACATGGATAATGTTTATCCTTTATTTTTCTATATCGGTGAATTGGGTCATTTTTTTAAAAAAGAATTAAAACTGTGCGAATGAGTGAAAAAAGGGCTTTTTGAAATGGTGAAAATCACCATTTGCTGCCCGCCCTGCCTCATGGAATGGCTTTAACCATATCCCCTTTTCCCCAGCATCATAGTGGTAGAGAAGCTGGTGTGTGTGTGTGTGTGTGTGTGTGTGTGTTTCCTCTTCTCTACCCCTCCCATGCTTATTAGCTCTTAGTATATCTAGCTTGAAAACAACTTGAAATGATTTAAAACGTCGACTTACTGAAAATCTACCTTACATGTGTGTCTTCCCTATTATTGTGTCAGGATTGGTGGACACTTCTGGGAATATTAACCAGTTTTCACCACTGCCAAAGTAGTTTAATACTCATCTTTTAGATGTCGAATGGTACTTTACCCCTGCCTCCAACTGCATCTCCGTTCCTGTGTAGATTTTTTAAATTTATTCTTATTTCTCATTAAGTTTCCAATTAGGTTTTTCCTCCTGCCTATCCCCTCCCATGCCTTGCTTGCAGGTATGTGCAAACCTTTTGTGTGTAAGGGAATGCCTGCAAAGTGTGTTCATGGGGGGTGGGGGTGCCGAGTTTACATTCCCATAAGGCAGGGATGAACTACTGAGACTTTCCAGATGTTTTTGGCCAGCAGGCCCATCAATGAGGAATTATGGGTCAATTATGTGGGTAGCTTGAAAACACTTGGAGGGCCGTCGTTGCCCATCCTTGCCGTAGGAGAGCTCTTGTTTGAGTTGAAAAAGATGGACGTGGAAATGTTTGTTGCCATGTAGCACTAAAGCCTTGGAACCGAAAAGCCTTAGCAGAGGAGAATGTAAAGTCAAACTTTGCTCCAAAGCCAAAAAAAAAGCAACAACAAAAAGCCACCCTGTGTGCATTGTGTGTGTACTTGCAGCTATCTGTACAATTGAAAGTGTGGAATTGGTTCAGCACTTGCGGGATTGATGTGTGGGCTGCTGTGAAACTTTGCAGCTTTGGAAGTGTTTACAGAAATGTTTTGTCCATTCAAAGTATGGGGGGGGGGGGGGGATACCTTTGGCTCCCCAGATGTTTTATACTAGAACTCCTACAATGCCTTCCCACTGGCCATGCCTTTTGAGGTTGATGAGAAACTTCAGGATTAATTATTATTATTTTTACAAATTTGGGGTATCAACTTGCATTTGCGATGTTACCTGTCCTGAAACACATAAAATTTGAAAATGAGTGACTTAGCTTTCTGACTATGTAGGGGAAAATCAAAATATACTCTCCCTCCTCTGAAATGTCTGTTTGGGTCGTAGAATCCTAGAGTTGGAAGAGACCTCGTGGGCCATCTAGTCCAACCCCATTCTGCCAAGAAGCAGGAAAATCGCATTCAAAGCACCCCCAACAGATAGCCAGCCGGCCTCTGTTTAAAAGCCTCCAAAGAAGGAGCCTCCACCACACTTTTGGCCAGAGAGTTCCACTGCTGAACAGCTCTCAAGTTCTTCCTTATGTTCAGGTGGAATCTCCTTTCCTGTTGTTTGAAGCCACTCCTGACAGATGGCCACCCAGCATCTGTTTAAAAGCTTCCAAAGAAGGAGCCTCCACCACACTCCGGGGCAGAGAGTTCCACTGCTGAACAGCTCTCACAGGAAGTTCTTCCTCGTGTTGGAATCTCCTTTCCCATAGTTTGAAGCCATTGTCCCATTGCAACCTAGTCTCCAGGGAAGCAGAAAACAAGCTTGCTCCCTCCTCCCTGTGACTTCCTCTCACATATTTATACATGGCTATCATATCTCCTCTCAGTCTTCTCTTCTTCAGGCTAAACATGCCCAGCTCCTTAAGCCGCTCCTCATAGGGCTTGTTCTGCAGACTCTTGATCCTTTTAGTTGCCCTCCTCTGGACACATTTCAGCTTAGAGTCAACATCTCCCTTAAGTTGTGATGTCCAGAATTGGACACAGTGTGATTCCAGGTGTGGTCTGACCAAGGGGAGCATGACTTCCCTGGTGCTAGACACTAGGCTTCAGTTTATGCAGGCCAAACTCTCATTGGTTTTTTTAGCTGCCTCATGACATTGTTGGCTCATGTTTAACTTACTGTCTACAAGGACTCTCAAGATCTTTTTCACGTACAGCTATAGAACCAGGCATCCCTGCTACTGAGTCACTTTATAAATGTACAGGTAATTGATTTAAGAAGGGAACATAGTACTGTTTCTCAATAGTCCTAACACATTTGATGGGGCTGCTTTGGAGAAGCTAGTTGCCTTGATTTCAATTTTAAGAGCCAAAATTCAACTTGATGCGGCCCTCCAGTCGTTCTTGTATCCCATCAGCCCTAGCCAACCAGAGGCAGGATCAGCAGTTTTGTGGGATGGGACTAATAGTTCACTAATATTTAGACAATCAAATCCCTTGTATTAGCAGTGTAAGGCCCCTGCAGGTCTCTACCTTCCTGCCATTGAGGAATGAAATTCAAAGAGCTTCCAAGAAGGGCTGATAGCATCACTACTCTTTCATTCCCCTGAATTGCCCCTCCAGAGACACTACAACTTATGCCTGCTGAGATGGGGCTTCGTCTTGGAGTATTATTTATATGTGACATTTTCTGAATTCATTTGGGTTTCCTGAGCTAATCTATTTCACTGATTTATCCCCTTCCCTTGTTTGACCAGAACTATGTCCTTCAAACTACCAAAGGAGGGGGGTGCTGGTGATTGCAGTGTAGAGATCCACCAGTGGACTACAAGTGGGCTGTTATTCTTCTGGACTGGAATACCCCCAAAATATATATCAACAGCTGACTTAATATAATCAAGAACACAATTGTAGCTTAGAATCCTAGAGTTGGAAGAGACTTCCTGGGCCATCCATTCCAACCCCATTCTGCCAAGAAGCAGGAATGTTACATTCAAAGCACCCCCGACAGATGGCCATCCAGCCTCTGTTTCAAAGCTTCCAAAGAAGGAGCCTCCACTACACTCTGGGGCAGAGAGTTCCACTGCTGAACAGCTCTCAAAGTCAGGAAGTTCTTCCTCATGTTGGAATCTCCTTTCTTATAGTTTGAAGCCATTATCCCATTGCATCCTAGTCTCCAGGGCAGCAAAAAATAAGCTTGCTCCCTCCTCCTCCCTATGACTTCCTCTCACATATTTATACATGGCTATCATGTCTCCTCTCAACCTTCTCTTCTTCAGGCTAAATATGCCCAGCTCTTTCAGCCGCTCCTCATAGGGCTTGTTCTCCAGACCCTTGATCATTTCAGTCGCCCTCCTCTGGACACTTTCCAGCTTGTCAGTATCTCTCTTCAATTGTGGTGCCCAGAATTGGACACAATATTCCAGGTGTGGACTAACCAAAGCAGAATAGAGCATGGGGAGCATGACTTCCCTAGATCTAGACACTAGGCTCCTCTTGATGCAGGCCAAAATCCCATTGACTTTTTTTGCTGCCACATCACATTGTTGGCTCCTGTTCCCCTTTCTCTCCACGAGGACTCCCAAGATCTTTTTCACACGCCCTGCTCTCGAGCCATTCTTGTGTAAACATCCAATTTCTTAAACACTAATTGTATTTAAAGCCTTTGAAAATGGTATAGTTTTTGTGTCTGGCCTTATATTGCCATTTCAGACACACAGTTTACAGTTTGTCAAATGGAGAAAAAAAAACCCTGGTTCAATGTAGGGGAAGCGAAGCTGGGGAGGAAATGCACATTTCCCTCACAACCTTTGCGCAGGGAAATTTTTGAACTGAGTTTGAATGTATATKCCCCCCCCCCCCCCCGGTACTATTTGGAAAGCACAAGCTCGAATCTGCCTTGAATCAGTTGCATCATTGCAATGGTGGATCAACTATGACACTTGCACTATAACAAAGTGCTGCATGAGTCTGCCCTGTCGGTAGCGTGTTACGAAGGACATACATGCTTAATTACTGCTCCTTACTTTTATACCATGCACATTAACAAACTCTTCAGTCTTAATGTATTGTTGAAGGCTTTCATGGCTGGAATCACTGGATTATTGTAGGTTTTTTGGGCTATATGGCCATGTTCTAGAAGTCTTGATCTCCAGTCTGGTTGAAAAATGGCCCGTGGGAACAAAAATGCTTTGTTGCCCAATGTATTGTTGAAGGCTTTCATGGCTGGAATCATTGGGTTATTATAGGTTTTTTGGGCTATATGGCCATGTTCTAGAGGCAGTCTCTCCTGACATTTCGCCTGCATCTATGGCAAGCATCCTCAGAGGTAGTGAGGTCTGTTGGAACTAGGAAAAAGGGGTTTATATATCTGTGGAATGACCAGGGTGGGACAAAGGACTCTTGTCTGCTGGGGCTAGGTGTGAATGTTTCAACTGACCACCTTGATTAGCATTTGATGGCTTGGCAGTGCCTGGTGGAATCTTTTGTTATTTATTTAATCTGGCTACCAATATTAAAAAAACTCTAAAATTACAACAGCAAAACAACAGAGAGTAAACAATCAGGCACATCTAATCACCTCTCAACCTTAATTAGCATTTGATGGCTTGGCAGTGCCTGGGGGAATCTTTTGTTATTTATTTAATCTGACTATCAATATTTAAAAACCCTAAAATTACAACAGCAAAACAACAGAGAGTAAACAATCAGGCACATCTAATCACCTCTCAACAAAAGATTGCCCCAGGCACTGCCAAGCCATTAAATGCTAATTAAGGCGGTCAGTTGAAACATTTACACCTAGCTCCAGCAGACAAGAGTCCTTTGTCCCTGGTCATTCCACAGATACATAAACCCATTTTCCTACTTCCAACAGACCTCACTACCGCTGAGGATGCTTGCCATAGATGCAGGCGAAACATCAGGAGAGAATGCCTCTAGAACATGGCCATATAGCCCAAAAAAAACCCTACAACAACCCATGCTTTGTTGCCGTTTGCTCATGTTGACTTGGTTCTTCTTGAGCAAAGAGAGTGAGCAAGAAAAGCACAAGCATGGCTTATCAGGGTTCCAGTCCTAGTATCAATGATGGTCCATGCTCCAGAAGATGTGTCTATGCGTGAGATAAAGCATGTTGTCACGAGATGGAGATGTGTTGGCCCATGCTTTTGGCGAATGACTTTCAGGCTGAGCTAATGGCTCAAAGCAACCAGACCTTACTGTGTGACCTTTCGTTCAGGGTGATGTTGACTTTAAATTTCTCCAGGCCAAACTACATATCATAATGGCAAATGTATGTCTTTAAACATAAGCCCAAATGAAGGAGGGATATGGCTTCTAATTCCAACCTTGTATGCTAGGGGTCTATCTAGTCCGTACCTTTTCCTGGTAGTCACCCAAATCCCAGTAGAAAGGCCCGCCAGCAGTGGTTCTCAACCTGTGGGTCCTCGGATGTCCTGGCCTTCAACTCCTAGAAATCCTAAACTGGCTGACATTTCTGGGAGTTGTAGACCAAAACACATGGGGACCACAGGTTGAGAACTACTTATCCAGTGAGTCCAATAGCAATCTTTTGCTTGTATTGCCCAAAGGTTGGTGTTTGGAAGATGCTGGTGGCTCCCAGAATTAGCATTTGTAGCCTAATCCTCCAAGAGGAGGGCATGGAATTGTTTTACCATTGTCACTCAACATTAACTAAGATTAGGGTCACTGGACCTCCATGAAAATCTATGAATAAAGAAATTGATAATTTTTGTTGAACACCTCTCTAGAAATATCTAGGTCTTCCCGCATGACTGTGGTTCAACTTCTGGATGCTGACCATTGAATCACATTAAAGGACCTAGACCAGGCATGGGCAACGTTTTTATAAGCAGGTGTGTCTTCAGTCTGAGGGAGCCTTCAGTGTTAGTTCGCCTCAGTCTGTGAGAGGTCTCAGTGTGTTAGCAGGCCTCACTATGACAAGGCCTCAGTGTTAGTTTGCCTCAGTGAAAGAAAGACCTCAATCTGAGAGAGCCCTCAGTGTGAGAAGGCCTCAGCGGGAGAAAGGCTGCTTAAGCGGCTGAGGGGGCAAACGAAAGGGCCTGAGGCTGTTAGGAATTGTGGGAGTTGAAGTCCAAAACACCTGGAGAGCCCAACTTTGCCCATGCCTGGTCTAGACATTCCTATAGAGATGTTCTATTCATAAATCTGGTGGAAGAAGCACATTGGAAGACCTAAAGATTCCTAGAACATTTTTAATCAAATCCATGAGTGATCAGATCTTGCAAAAGTCATCTGCAAATGTGGAGAGATAACTGTATCTACTTTGGATTCCAGAATA